CAATAAAGATAAATTTAAAATAATAATTTCTGGTTTTGTTTATATGTATCTTTTCTCATTTTTCCTTAGTGAGTCTAGCCATGGTTTGTCAATTTTACTAATCATTTTAAAGACTCAGTTCTTGGTTATAGTAATTTTTATAGTCTTTTTGTTCTCTATTTCATTCATTTCTGCCCTAATTTATGTTATTTCCATTATCTCTTTTTAAATTTTTTTGTTTACACTATTACAGATGCCTGTCAATTCCCCCCCTATCCCCCTTGTTCTCTCAGCCCTACCCCACTCCAGCCTTCGCCACACTACTTCTGTGTCTATTGGTTATGCATATATGCTTATAAGTTCTTTGGTTAATCTCTTCCCGTCTCCTTTCCCCTCTGAGATCTTTCAGCCTGTTCCATGCCTCCTGGCCTCTGGACCTATTTTGTTTGTCACTGATTTGGGGCTACTTTTGTTCTTCTTTTTGTAGTTCTTTAAGATGTATATTTAGGTTGTTTACTTGAGATTTTTCTTATGGGTTTTTTTTGTGTGTGTGTGTGTTTTTTTTGTGTTTTTTTTTTGTAAGAGTTTATTTGAGCCAAATTGAGGATATATGCATGGGAACAATATCTCAAATACCCTGGAGAATAAGTGTTACAGGGTTTTTTTCTTGATCAACTTTTTTATCTTTTATTTATTTATATTTTTAATCATTTTTATTCAATTTCATTCAATGATCAGCTACCTCCCGCACGCCCCCTGCTGGGAACCGAGCCCACAACTTTTCAATTAGTTGACATACATTATTATATTACCTTTGGGTATATATCCCAAAGTGATTAGACATTGTATAACTTAACTGATCACCCTGAAAAATCTAGTACCCATTTAACCCCATACATAGTTATAAGAATATTTTTGATTATATACCCTATGCTGTACTTTACATCCCCCATGACTATTCTGTAATAACCAATTTGTATTTCTTTCTTTTTTAATTGATTTCAGAGAGAGTAGGGGAGAGGAAAAGAGAGATAGAAACATCAATGATGAGAGAGAGTCATTGATTGGCTGCCTCCTGCACACCCCCTGCTGGGGACTGAACCCACAACCTGGGCACGTGCCCTCACCAGGAATCAGACTGTGATTGCCTGGTTCATAGATCGATGTTCAACCACTGAACCATGCCAGCCAGGCCCAATTTGTAGTTCTTAATCCCTTCACCTTTTTTACTCATCCCACAACCCCCCTCCTATCTGGCAACTGTTAAAATGTTCTCTGTATCTCTGAATCTGTTTCTGTTCTGCTTGTTTGTTTATTTTGATTTTTAGATTTAATTGTTGATAGATAGGTATTAATTGCCATTTCATTGTTCATATTGTTTACCTTTTTTTCCTTCTTCTTAAAGAAGACCCTTTAACATTTCATATAGTACTGGTTTGGTGGTAATGAACTCCTTTAGCTTTTTACTGTTTTGGAAGCTCTTTATCTGTCCTTGGATTCTAAATGATAGCCTTGCTGGGTAGAGTAATCTTGGTTATACGTATTTGCTTTTCATCACTTTGAATATTTCTTGCCAGTCCCTCTGGCCTGCAAAGTTTCTGTTGAGAAATCAGCTGACAGTCTTATGGGAGCTCTCTCGTAGGTAACTAACTGCTTTTCTTTTGCCACCTTTAATATTCTCTCTTTGTCTTTAACCTTTTGCATTTTAATTATGCTATATATTGGTGTCAGCCTCTTTGGGTTCACCTTATTTGTGACTCTCTGCACTTCTGGACTTGTATTTGTTTTTCCTTCACCAGGTTAAGGAAGTGTTTTGTCATTATTTTTTTCAAATAAAGTTTTCAATTTCTTGCTCTCTCTCTTCTCCTTCTTACATAGCCATTATGTGAATGTTTGTATGCTTGAAATTGTCCCAGAGACTCCTTACACTGTCCTCATTTATTTTGAAATCTTTTTTCTTTTTTGTGGTTCTGATTGGGTGTTTTTTTGCTTTCTTATATTCCAAATTGCTGATTTGATTCTCCACTTCATCTACTTTGCTGTTGATTCCCTGTAACTTGTTCTTTTTCAGTTAGTGTATCCTTCATTTCTGACTAGTCCTTTTTTAATGCTGTTGAGGTTCTCACAAAGTTCATTGAGCATCCTTATAACCAGTGTTTTGAACTCTGCCTCTAGTAGATTGCTTGTCTCCATTTTGTTTAGTGCTTTTTCTGGAGTTTTGTTATTTTCTTTCATTTGGGATGTGTTTCTTTGTCTCCTCATTTTGGCATCCTCCCTGTGTTTGTTTGTGTGTATTAGGTAGCACTGCTATGTCTCCCGGGCTTGGCGGAGTGGCCTAATGTCGTAGGTGTTCTGTAGGGTCCAGTGGCACAGCCTCCCTGATCACTCAAGCTGGGCACTCAAAGTTTGCCCCCCATGCGGACTGTATACATTCTCCTCTTGTAATTGAGCCTTGATTGCTGTTGGCACATCAATGGGAGGGATAGGCTTATCAGCTACAAGGGCTGGCTGCAACCACCAACCACCGACCTCCTACCACAGTGGAGGACCAGCTGTGTAGGCGTCCACCCACAGAGGAGGACTTACTTCAGCAGTGTTTTGGTGCCCACTGAGTCCACCCCTTGAGTGTGTCTCCTGTGCAGGTGATTGGGTGGTGCTTCAACATGGTCTGAAGCTGTATACTGTGTGTGCGGGCTCTGGGGCCTCCCAGGATGTGTAGGCCAAGGTTGGCTGATGCCTGTGTTCTGCCCAGGGACAGGGCATGAGCTACAAAATGATCTGTAGATGGCTGCTATTTGTGCTGGGCTTGGCAGTGCCCAGCAGAGGCCAAACTACCAACTAAGGACAGCTGCCATTAGTTCCAGGCCAGGGGCCACTTAGCAAGAGTCATGGGGCTCCCTGAGGCCAGATATTGCTTGTTTGAGAGATTTTAGGAAAGTCTGAAGCATGAGCTAAGACAGGCCATTCCTATTGAAAAGCCACTGGAAACAGCTTGGTTGGACCTGAAAGTTAGGTGGGGCAGGCCTCAGGGGTCACTACAGTAGGGCAAACAGTGAGCCAGGTTGATGGAGTGTCAGATATGGCTCCCACCTGTGGACTCTCTGGGGGAAATGGCTCATCAAAGGAACAATGGCCTCTGCCAGCACTTCTCTCTGGGAGAAAGCTGCTCCCCCTGCAGCTCTAGCCCTGATGCCAGAAAATTCAGTTGCTCTCTATATGTCCCTGGTGCCTTTCTAGCTACTGGCCCA